ATAAGTTGGGTTCCGTAGGAACCCAGCAACTATCCATGCAATATACTCATTTTGGGTTCCGCCATTGCAGACAATGATTGGATTTTTATTTCACCAATTTACAAAGACTGAAGAGACAAAATTTGCAACAAATCCACAGCTAAAATTGGAAAAAAAAAAAAATCAAGCTTCATAATCATCATAATCAAAATGTGCTTCTTGCTTCTATAGCATCTTTATGGGAACAATCAAAGAATCAAGCTTTATCATCATCCTTTAGGAGGCAAGGAAAGAGAGGTTTGAGTTTAGAAAGAAATGTAAGCAAGAAAAATTGCAAGAAATAAAAGCAAAAACTTAGAAGAAAAAAATTGAAACAAAATCAACCAATCATCGAATCAAAATCCATGAAAAAGAAAAGAACCCAGCTTGTGGGTTCGCCTTTTTATATCTGATTAGGCAAAGCAAAGGTAAAAATTTATTTAACCTGTTTTAATAAATTTTTAATCTTTAAACAATTTATTTTTATACCTAACATTTAATTTAGTATTTGATTTTGTTTAATCTACTAAATTTTATTTAACACTTGACACATTAATTAATATAATTACATTCTTTATTAGTATATTTAACTAATTTAAAACTTGATTTTATCTAAAAAAATATGTGAATATGCATATGAGACTACATAGACATTACATATAAAGTTATCACAATTTTTTGTCAATAGTTGACTTTTAAATTTAAGAGTCAACTCTTTTCAAATAAGAGTAGATTCTTTTCCAACAAGAGTCAACTCTCATCAAAGAGAGTCGACTATACACAGCACTCAGGACGTTCACAACTCTCTGGAATTTGGGAGTCAAATGTTTACCATATATAGTCGACTCTTAAATGCTCAAGAGTCGAATCTTTGTTCTTAGATTCGACTCTTTGTTTAAAGGTATATATATAATGGCCTTAACTAACTACTAGTCAGAGTGGTAATATCAACAACAAGGGATATGTTGCTGATGTTTGGTTGGTAAAAAGATAAGAATAACAACAACATAATATATGTTGCTTATACTTTAATTGTGGTTGGAAAAGTTTCAACAACATATCTCTTGTTACTGAAAGTAAATTTCAACAACATACTACTTGTTGCTGAAAGTATGTTGCTGAAAGTGGAGCAACTTTTTAGGGAAAAAATGTATTGTGCAACTTTTAGCAATGTAAGCCTTGTTGCTGATACAAATTTTCAGCAACAAAGGATTTTATGTTGTTGAAAGCTTGAATTTTAATAGTGTACTTAGGTCGTTGGCATTTCTATTTCGGTTTTGTTTTGGCTAATTCACATAAATTATGTGAATAAGAGGGTAATGACAAAATTTCAAGAAGTCTCTCCTCAACTCTGGTAGCCAACTTGTGAGCCAAATTCTTATGAAAGAGTAACGTAATTATGAAAGATTTTAAACTGGATTTTCATGACCCCTTTAGAAACAAAGAAAAGACCAAGAGAGACTTTTTGAAATTTTGTCATTACCCTCTTTTATGAAGAGGGTTAACTCCAAGAGCTCCGGTAATTATTTAAATGTACAATTGAAACAGTTTAACAACTTAACCATGTGGATTTTAAGAATATATATTATCATTGCAATGTTAGGAGACAAGGGATATCATAAAGTCGGTTCTTTTTCTTTTTCGTTTTGGCTAATTCACATAAATCATGTGAAGAAATAACTGATGCAGAATTTTCATGATTTATATATAAAAAAATTTCGGTAGAACCTTTGAGCAAGGTATTTTTTTAATAAATGTTGAAGCCTTCGAATAGTTGAATGATATCATGATTTTGACAATATATATATATATATATGTATATTTTAACTTGTTTCCTTTTGATAATAGCATTTCCATAGTGAAGACGCGTAAAGGCAACATTTCATTTTGAACTTTGAAGTATCAAAGAGGTTTAGGCATATTTTTCTCCAATATGATAATATCTACATAAAATGACATATCACTACATTATTAAATGGTTAAATCAACATTTTAATCCCTCAAATTTTGGTTTTGGACAAAGTTAGTCCTTAAAAAATTACCAAGTTCATCCTTGAACTTTAATTTTCCATTTCCAACTCAATCCTTCCATCGATGGAAGTGCCCAAGTGGCACAATAACTAGCCATTGATTCAAAATCTTGAAATTTAAAAAATTACGTGAAAAAGGAAGCCCTATATTTTTATGATTTGACAAATTTTTTCTCCAAGTCAAGTCAACGTTCGATTATGCTTTTTATCACAATTCCCCAATTGTAGGTCTTACATCTCTCTTTGTCTTCTAATTCATACATTGTACTTTACCAAATCAACATAATCAATAGAAGAGCAAATTGTAGTATCATTATTATCCAAAGTATTTCATTGAAATCAACTGTGAAGCTCAACAAAAATTCAACTCAATAATTGATTAGAAGAAAATACTAATCAAAAAAATTTTCATTTCAATCAAACCACTTTAAACTAAGCTAAAATCTAAAATAATCAATGGCAAAACACCTACAATTCCCTTCATCAAAAACAGAGTTCACAAGAAAGAAAAATGGAATATAAGGGAACTTTAATGGAAGAAAAGGGAATCTTTGATCTAGAGAGAAGAAGAGAAATGAAGCAAAAAGAATATCCCTGAATTAGGGAGAATATCAAACCTAAAATCCTACCAAAAAGATATAAGAATAAAAAACACCTACCCTTTGATTAACTTCTACCCCTTCTTGATTAATAATTGGAAGTGCCTTTTGAGATCACACAAACCAACACATAACCTCTATCCATCTCAGTGTTGCTATGAGATTGAGGTAGTTACTCAATCATCCACAAGAAGGATGCAAGCTAATTTAGGTGCACATTTGAATGGAGCACGACAGCTAGTGATTTGATCAGATGCGATTAAAGCAACACACAAGCTTTGATTTGTTGGGCTCATTAGAAGCCAAAGAGAACTCGAGATTAGATTCTTTTAAAGAACTAGATCTAGAACCCAAATCTAGGTTTTCCAAGAGAATTCAATCTAAGTTCCAATAAAAGCAAATAAAACCAAGAAAATAAAAA